GCTGCTCTGACTTCTCCCACTAATAATAACTCCATCTTTTTTAAAAGTTAGAACTGAAGTCCTTGACAATTGGGGGACCCTTTAGTAGTAAAGCCAAGTAGGAGAGGCAGGAGTACTGGGAAGGATGTCTGGTAATGGCGTAAGGCTTATGATCTTACACAAGCTTTCTACTCTTAGTTCATCCGTTGAGTCATCGTATAGTGTAGGAGGAGTCCCTTTCTCCTCTTGGCACGGCTGGAATATCTCCTTTCCTTGGCCATAAGGTCAAACGCCTTAAGGTCCAACAAGCATATAATGTGCCCAATAGGAAAGAATATGAAAGTGTGTGCGGATAGTTTAATTCTTACTGAATTGTGCTAGGGAGCAAACTACAGGTGATATTCTTCGTGGGCAGCCCAAGGAAATCAAGGACCCATGTGTGGACTGACTCTTAAGTCTATCTTCACTTTGGCTCAGGCCACAGAGGGGGTCAACTGCCGCCAGTATTTATGAAATGCGCACTATGATGATGGATAAAATTGTTTTAGGAGCAGATTGTAGAGCTATCCCTGGGACAGTTTTTCTCAAGTTATGATCCTCTGAGCACTTGCATTACTCGAAGGATGGGGCCCTGGAATCTGCAAGTAGTCTTCTTTCCCAAATAATTCTTATGTGAATGTAACTATGAGAACTACTTCCTAAGGAATGGTAAATTGAGAAGATGGTTGTGAGCCTTTGAATTTGGGGTGGCCTGTAAAATTAGTGAGAAGAGCTGACCAGCAATTCCAGGTAGCATATGGATATTTCATTTGAGAGGATATAAAGACTGGGTTAGGTGCCTCCTATGTGGTTCCACAGATTCTGTGCTTCTATCATAACCCTTGTCACACTGTATTGTAGTTGAATGTTTTTGTCCCTTCCCCTATAATCCAGAGGGTTCTTAGTTGTGAGCAACAGAAATTGATTGGCTAATTTAAGCAGAAAATGCTTGTCTTAAAAGCATATTAAATAGCTCCCAGAATCACAAGTTGGACTGGAGAACCAGACTCAGGGCTACACAGCCAACATCACAGCTGTCACCATTACTACCACCGTGCTAGCACCATTAGTGGGTTGGCTTAGGTCCTCAGAGATGCAGAAACCAAGCTGGGATTAGATATGCAGGAGATTTATTGGGGAAAATGTCAGTGAGAGAACATAGGGAGGAAGCTGGGAGAGATGTTAAACCGCAGTGTAAATCTGACCTTTATGGATGAGAGAAGGAAAGAAGAAGGTTAGGTAGGAAGTGTCGTAGACTGAAGTGCAGTGCTAATAAAGTTTGACCAGGCTGATGGGGAGTTCTGTTGCCACAGTCACAGGCCACATAGTCCTGTGTCTCCCAGAAATGGGCCTGACTTAGTATCCCTGCTGTGCTCAGTCACTGGCTGGGAGCAGTGTGGCTTCAGAACAAAGCAGCAAATATTGGGGTGAATTTAAAGCACAGCAGCTGGGGCAAAGGTCAGTGACACTTCCCACATTGGAAGAACCAAGAGGCACATTTTCATGACTGTCTGAATTGGAGAAGATTGTCCACTTCTTTGGGTCACTGGCTCCCAATTCAAGGGATGGATCCTTGGATTGAGGGAGCCTAAGTCACATGCCTGTGCCCCAACTACAAGGGGGCCCTGTTTCTTAGCAAGAGTCCTGTGTCCTCTCCCCCAGATAAAGGGTTCAAATGCTGTACAGCGACACCCCTAAAAGGACAAATGTCTATTATACCATTACACTCTGTGAACCCCTTGAGAGCAGAGATCTTTGTCTTACTGCTATTACAAATAAATGTTTATTGAAATAACTGAATGAGTGTGGCCAGCTAGTGTTCAAACGACCTTGTACACACACACACACACACACACACAATCAATCAATTTAGCCATCAGGGAAATGCAAATGAAAAACCACTAGGATGGTTATAATGAAAAAAGATAAGTGCCGTTGAGGATGTGGAGAAACACAGTGCTGATAGAAATGTAAAATGGTGCAGCCACTTTGGAAAATGGATGGTGAGGGAGTGGCTTGGAGAAGGATAATCAAAAGTCTTTGTCCTCAGGGAGCTTAGAGCAAAAAGAGAAGGCCCAGAGGATACCTGACTGATTTTGCATTACATATCTCTTAAGGATTCTAACAGTCCAAACCGAGCATTCTACAGATGGAAGCCATTCTTCCATCCTAACTACTGATTCTCCAGGCCTTGTCCATCACCTCTCACCAGATAGTGTTCTGTGACTGGACTCTCAGCCACTTGCAGCACATCTCTCTCCTTCCTCTCCTCTTCCCTCATGGATGCCAGCTACCTCTTATGAATCAGCTCTGGCTGTAGGGGCTTTGTAAGCTCAAACCTATCTCCGAACCTTATGTAGTTCAGAGGGGTTCTGAAAGCTGATAAATACGCCAAGAGCTTTTCGATCAAACTGCTTTTAGATCTGTTCTCTGTTCCTGCTGAGTCGGGGGCTGGAGGTAGGGGGAGTGGGGAGTCAAATCTTGGGTCTCCCTTTCTTGCAGAACCAAACCCCTGAACACGGCCTAGCATTCAAGGGGAAGCACGGGAGAACAGTGCTCCTAATGGGGAAGGGGTTCCCAGGTCCTCAGCAGTCTGATGAGTATCAACATTTCCAGGTCTGTAGTCTTAAGAAGAGTAAAGGGCTGGAGTCTAGAGATTGTCTAAAAGAGGAAGGAGAGTTGGACAGAAACAGGGCAAATTCTCAGTCAGTTTCTCCCAGCAGGGCAAAAGGAACAAGGAAATAAGAGACCAGAGGATTTAGTGACCTAAAGCGCCAGAGAGTCCTAGGGCTGAAAACAGAGAAGCTAGTGGGTGAGGGGGATCAAATGGCAGGAGATTTACACGTATATATCAACCTTGGGGGTCCAAAAAATAATGTAACAGTAGGGTCTCTGCCTTCAAGGAGCTTATGGTAATTTAGTGGTGAAATAAAGATTAATATACTTGAAATAATTTGTAATTTGGTGCTAAACTGTGGGATTGACCCAAAAAAGTGCTGTAGGAGCTCTGAGAAGGGAGAGATCATGTGGGCTGACATCCTCTGTGAGCTGAATGGCTGACTGAGGCAGTAGGTGCCCCACAGGACTTTATGCTCCAGCTACAGTGGCTACAGCTTTTAGAGATGAGTGTGCCTGAGTCTTGTATGTTTTCCTGGAGGAAACACAGGGGAGGAAGCTTCATCGTCATCACTATTTGTTAATCACTATCATCAACAAGAACCACAATAAACATTGAGCATCCCTCCCTGAGTCTACATTTCTGTTTAGGAGGCAGGGCAGGCAGAAGGAGTTGAAGGACTAGAGCAAGAGAGTACATGCCAGTAGCACAAAGACAGAGGGAAAAGTGAGAGCTGGGGAGGTGAGGGAAGGCTTCCTGGAGGAGGTAATACTTGAACTGACCCTTGAAAGAAGATTAGGCTTTGGGCTAATGCAGAAAAGAGTGAAGGGGGTTGTAAACGGCCTCAACACGGCACTGAGAGAGCAAGGCAAGTGTGATTAAGTGAGAAAACCTGCTGGACTGAAGCAAAGGGTGTGGCAGGGTAGCGTGGGTGATGAAGTTGGAGAGGAAAGTAGTCTGATGATTATAGAGAGCCTTAAATGTCAGACAGAAGGAGTCATATTGGAACAAAGTAGGAAGGCAGTGTAGATTTGTGTATTTGGGGAATAGGGCACAAGGAAGAAGGAGGAGAGGCTAAAAGAAAAACATGGGGATTCTACATTCTTCCTAGTTTCAGTCTCCCATGTCAGGGTGGCCAACTCATCCCAACACAGCAAACAGATGAGTTTCTCACCCTACTTGTGATCCATCTTGGGAATAGGTCCTGAAGAAGCCCACAAGAAGTTCTGCACCGTATACTGTTGGCAGAGAACTTTGTGCCTTTTGGAAAGGCCCAAGCCATCAACACTATGAAGTGTTCTCAGATAGCATTGCCCCGCCTTGTGAAACAGAAAGGAGGAAGGGTCAGCCTCCTAACCCAGCTGCTAACACAGGTACAGACCAAGATGGGACATCTGCTTCAAAAGCAACAACCTTTTGAAGCTGATCTGTTCTTGAATCAGCCCTGGGGAAAGGAGACAGCAATTGCAGGAATCTTAAAAACCAATACAACAGCAAGACTAAGCCTTTCTTGAAGCCATCATTTTGGTGGCTGCTACTTGGCCACTCCTCGCATAGATCTTTTTTACTGACTTCCTGCAGCAAAAGGAGATTGGCACAGGCTATATTTATATTATTACCAGGAGGCAGATGTTTTCTCTTTTCCCCTGGGGTTTAGAATTATGCAAATGAAAGCACAAAAACAAAAGCTCAGCAAGGTGGGGGAAGATTGCTCTTAAGAATCTAGGCAATTTTCAGAGCTCTTTAAGACACACCTCTCAGTTCTTACTAACAGCTCTCCTGGCTCCTTTCCAGTCTATTTAGAATTTGGCACCTCTTCAGAACCTTACAGCCAAAGACCTGAAAGTTCATTCTTAAGTTCCCATCCTGGCCTCATTTTGCAAGTGGAGAAATCAAGGCATATGATACGGGTCTGTGGGCTGACTTTGAGTCTTTCTTTGACATTCCCTCCTTCTCTTTCTTCCTTTTGCTACATACACTCTTGGTTGGAAAGGAAACTCTACGGCCCAATTGCCCCCCAGGTCTCTCCCCAGCCCCACCTTGATAAAATCTGTAGGGCAATAGGACCTAGGGAAATTCAACCCTGAGGCCGAGAGAGACATTCCTGCTTAACCGCCTGGCTCGAGCGAGTGTGGGAGCGAGCTAGTTAGGGAGGGCGGGGTAGAACTGGGGGTCTGCTTCTGTTGGCGAAGAGGAAAGCTGTGGCTCCCTCCAGGGTCCGGGGGTCGTGATGAGAAGTGCTTCTGAAGGTTGGCCCAAGCCCCTTTTTGTCGCGCCTCTATGCACCGAGCATCCTTCATCTGCCCGCCCTGGAAGTCGCAGGTTGGTTTTGTTTGGCCCCAGCTGTCTCTCCCATTTCGTGCAGCCCCGCCATCGTTGCCTTCGTTCCTGAAGCCACCGACCTCTCACAGCTGGAACTGCGAGCCAGGCAGGACCCCGGCAGCAGACGGCGCCCAAGAGTTTGCCGACATCCGTCGGGCCGGGTTGGCGCCCCGCACGTCGTGTTTTTCGCTAGTAAAGTTTCTCTGTGGAAAAGAAGCCCCTCCAGCTTTCTCTTGATCCTGCAGCGGGCGCGTGCTTTGCTTCTCTCCCCGGTGACTGCGCTCGGAGCCGGGGTTGTGACTTTGCTCCTGTCCCTGGCCTGGCTGCCTTGGGGGCGGAGCTTGGGGAATTGGAGGAGCCGCCGTGAGAACTCTTGACTGAGCGCGGGTGCGGAGAGACCGCCGGCGAGCAGGCGAGCTAATAGCCATAGCCTAGCATTAGCTAGGGTGCCTGGGCAGTGAACTGGATCCCCGAAGGGACGCTCAGGCTGCGCCCCCTCTTCTGCCCTGGCTCAGTTCTCAGCTGATTTGAGAGAGCACACTGGTCGGGGCTCCTCAAGAGGAGCTGCTGAGTGTCGGTGCCCGCGAGAGTGGCTACCCGTCCTGCCTGGGGGGCTGCGACAGGCGGAGCCGCCACGGAAACAGCTGTCCCATGGTTCTTGACGCGCCTGGAATTGGACTCCGGACTGGGCGCTAAGATGCTTGCTTTTGCCTTGTCCAACTTCCACAGCACGTAGTTGACGATTGGAATCCTGGGCCAATCAAGAGTCTAGTTTCAAAGTGGTACTCCTGGGCTCTTCATCCCAGACTCCAACAAGTCTAATTTGAGACGAGAAGAGAGCGGTCTCCTGCTCTAACTAGTAGATCTCCGTTCTGGAATTGGACTTGACAGCTCTCCTCACCAATACTTGCACTGCAGTGGCTACAGGGTTCTCTTGGGAGGTGGGGATGGGAGTGCTCTGAAGACCAGACCACAACACTCAGAACCTCGACAATGGACCGAGTTTTTGAAATTCGTGAGGAGCCAAGCGTGGAGCCGATATCCTCTCTGGAGGAAGATGTCATCCGTGGGACGAACCCCCGATTTACCTTTCCATTTGGCATCCTCTTCTCCACGTTTTTGTACTGTGGGGAGGCAGCATCTGCCTTGTACATGGTTAGAATCTATCGGAAGAATAGTGAAACCTACTGGATGGCATACACCTTTTCCTTCTTTATGTTTTCATCCATTATGGTCCAGTTGACCCTCATTTTTGTCCACAGAGATCTGGCCAAAGACAAGCCACTATCATTGTTTATGCATCTAATCCTCTTGGGACCTGTTATCAGGTGAGCAAATTTAAATCTTTTCCCTCCTCCCCTACCCCCCAACTGTGCAGAGAAAGATGAATTTAATATTTTTAAGACTGTTACTGTGCCTTGAATCGAATCGATTCTCCCATTCCCTCCCACTCTTGGTTTCCCTGCCTACCATCCAAAAAGTCTTATCTGCAGTCTTAAGTGCCACCACAATGAACATATGGCATGTACCTGTGTTCCGAAACCATGTATGGTACCGTTAATAAGACTTCATTTGACAATGTTTGCTATCTGGATTCGGGTTGTGAAATTGGTATGAGACCAACTGATGTGGTCACCTTGTAAACACAGGCTATAGCTTCAGAGTGTGTTATTTTGACTCTGCCTTTTAGATGCTCTTTAAATTGGATGGAAGTTCCTTACCCCCTCCATCCCATCTCACATTCAGTTTCTTTACCCTGAGTTGCTTGGGCTGCTGCTACTGATATTTTCAAATTTTCTGGAGTTATTTGACATCTGGAAAGTATTTTAAGCCATTTGTGCTCATCTGGTACCCAAACCCATTGTAGTTTATTTTTCTCTGTCAGTTTATTCGTCTCCTATTTGTCTCTGTATCTTTCTGCAATAAAGGTACACGGTTAGAAGGGGGCAAAGGAAGATAGTCTATCTCTCCATCTGGATGCTGTAGCACAATGTAATAGTATTGAGTCTTTCCATTCAGATTGTTTTGAAGGGACAAGAATGTGCCTTCAGGGAGATCAGCTGGGTGCTTTGTGACCACCTAGAGGGGTGGGATAGGGAGGGTGGGAGGGAGACACAAGAGGGAGGAGATATGGGGATATATGTATATGTATAGCTGATTCACTTTGTTATAAAGCAGAAACTAACACACCATTGTAAAGCAATTATACTCCAATAAAGATGTTAAAAAACAAAAGAAAGAATGTGCCTTATCCTAGGGATACAGGCATCTGTGTCAGAAGTCTCATCTGGATGCTATGTGATTTTCAAGGTAGAGAGATGTTGCAAAACTTCTGAGGTCAGTAGGAAAGAATGGACCAAATTTATCTTGATTGCAAGAGAGGCAGAAACTTGCAGTCAGCTGAGGAATATGGGTCAGAGTGTTGATGTTGTAATTGCAATGGGAAGATATTTCATCCTTAGAAATAAACACAGTCTGAAGTTCAGGATGGAACTGCCCCCTTTAAAAAAAATTTATCAGTATGTTTAAATGGGGAGGAATTGATTACGCTCCATCAGCGAAAATATGAGACATCAACAGAAACAGTGGCCTGGAATTCAGGAGACCTGGAATCTAGTTTGCCCTTGTCATTGACTAGTTACATGGCCTTGGTGAAATCCCTGAAGATGCCTTGAGCCTCAGGTCCTTCATCTGTAAAATAAATGGGTTGGGCTAGATCATGGGTCGTAAACTCAAACACTTACAGGGGCCAGGCAGGTATCATAAATGAGTGAAGCAAGCCAAGGATGAGAAAAAACAGTAGTTTCATGTGTGATGATAAGTAAAAATGAAGTCTCGGTGTTAGAGAAATGATGGAGTGTTGGTGAGTACTGTGGTAATCTGGAGTCCGCGAGATCTGCCTAAAGGAGGCCAGCCTCTCTACAGCTCCAGCCCATTGTTTCCCTGTTGGAATTCAGACCCTGTATCGCCAAGGCCGCAACTTTTCAGGACAAGCTCCCAAGACAGGATTTTATGTGAAATGGAATGATTGAACATGTTGACAACTGATTTTGGTAATTAAATAAAAGAACTGTCTGGGCCAAACACGCCACAGCTGTTCGTCAGATGTGACTCAGCTGGCCTATGCAACCTCTGTACTAGGTAATCTAAAGGGGCTTTCGAGTTCTAAATCTTTGAAGTTAAACTGTGAAAGGAAGACCTCATCTCGAACTTGGAACCAAGATGTCATTTAGAGATGTCATTAGAGGAACAAGGAAACCATTCTTCTTGCCCTTTTCAAATGCAATAAATTGAGTTAACGGATCAATCACTCTTAAGATGCAAATTTCAGTAAGTTCTGCCCCAGCTCCATTTCGACTTCTCTTTGCTTTGTGGCCTCCCAAGCCATCTTTGATTTGGACCATCCATATGGAGTGTTGAGTACTATGTTTCATTTTTGTCATTTAGCTCCCACTAGAAATGATTGGAAAGCATTTATAATCTCAGTCAGCTACCCCACAGCAGGGAAAAAATAATTAAAAGCTCATAAATCATATCCTTGATAATGCTTATTTTCAAGGCAAATTACTTTTTAGGTAGGCAGGAACTTGATGAATGCTATTAGGCACATGAAGGTGTTTGGAGGCCCTGGCTCCCTTATATGAAATGCAAAGATACTTCTGAAAATGAAAATGTACTCTCATTTGCTGCCGCTTATAAGCAAGGCAAGCACGCTTACTTAAACCAGTAAATGGCCTTAAGAATAGAAGCATATATAACTGATTCACTTTGTTATAGTGACACACCATTGTAAAGCAATTGTACCCCAATAAAGATGTTAAAAAAAAAGAATAGAAGCATAAACAGAATTCTTCATGCCACTGCCTCCCCCAATGTTTTATTCAGCAATAGTATTGATGGGCTTGGGTTAAAATCTAAACTCTCTTGGTGGAAATGCACTTATGCATTTTTCCTGAATAAGAAGAGAAAGTTGCTTTTTTTCCTTTTCTGTTCTCTCCTTCCATCTTTTTCTCTCCTGGATTTTAGAGTTTTCCCTACAACATGGATGTTTCAAACTACGTGCTTTAGCCCGGTACACATGCACCAATCTCAAAGGGATCCTGTGGAAAAATGATACAAATGAACTTATTTACAAAACAGACTTAGAAAACAAACTTATGGTTACCAAAGGGGAAAGGTGATGGGGGGGAGGGATAAATTGGGAGTTTGGGATTGACATATACACACTACTATGTTTAAAATAGATAACCAACAAGGACCTACTGTACAGCACAGAGAACTCTGCTCAATATTCTGTAATTAGCTAAATGGGAAAAGAATTTGAAAAAGAATAGATATATGTATATGTATAACTGAATCACTTTGCTGTACACCTGAAGCTAACACAACATTGTAAATCAACTATAGTCCAATATAAAATATTTTTTTTAAAAAAAGGGATCCTGTGGAGAATGGCAGCCAGCACTGTTCCAAGCTTTTCTATCGGGAGCCAAAGGCCTAGAGAGCATATAAATCTGAGCTCGTCTTTGGTCTGTTTTTTTTTTGTTGTTGTTAAATTACATTGCCATTATTAATTATTATCTTCTCCTTCCATCACTTCTCACCCTGTATTCTTTTTTTCCTTCTAACTCTTTCATTTACTCAGCAAATATTTATCAAATGCCCACTATGTGATAAGGGCGGTGAGCAAGATAAATGCAACCCGTGCCCTCAGCCTATCAGGAAAGACTGCTTAATTTTTGACACAACTGTTCTTACTTAGAAGAAATAGTTCACAGTTTCCATTTATTTCAGTGTGAGTGGGGGAAGTAGTAACTCAGGTGTTCCAAAACAAGATGTTCTAGTTGCTTCTCTTTTCACCACATCAGAACTGCTAAAGACTTCTGATTTATATGGGGGATATGGGACGGGTACAGCAGGAAATGTGGTCTTAATATTATTTCAAGGATGATAAGATCTCCTAAGTATGTTTTACTCTTTGTAGAGAAAGAATGAAGTTTAAAAGGCTATTGTTCCCAAACAGGTCAAGAGGCCCCAGAACAACCTTTAAAGAGATCTTTTGAGGTTCCCTAGGTATATAGTATATTCGGTTCTGAGTTGTCAAGCCTTTTAAGTACCTTCGTTGCTAAATGGCTTTCCTGTGTATTTGAGAGATTTTTCCAGATCCCTTCCAAGACTTTTTGGCTGAGACAGTTATAGTTGTGGGCTTTGTTTTGAAAAAGCAGAGCTCAAAAGCTCTGATTATGGAGCTGAAAGCTTTGAATAAGGAATGCTTTACCTCAGGAACCTGAGGTGTTATGAAAACCAGAGCCTTTTGGAACCTTCATCGTTTTCTCTCAACAAATTTTTCATGTCTTTGTGTTCTAGCCATTTTTCTGTCACAGGCTTATTCTTAAGTCCTCAAACACTTCTGAATTGGCGTTCTTAGGTTGGTCGATTGCCAACCCAACACAAAGGATTTAGACTGAAGTGACACGTGGAAGGCATGACCAACTCCTTGCCTCATGAGAAATGAGTAGAACAGGAGAGAAGGAATGGCAAAAAGTAGCACAGCCCTCCTGAGTTATTTTTCCCCCCTCACTACAACTTTCCTTCCTAGGACAGCTTTAGTTAAGTACTCATGATGCTTTACTTCTGCAGATGTTTGGAAGCCATGATTAAGTACCTCACACTGTGGAAGAAAGGAGGGCAGGAGGAGCCCTATGTCAGCCTCACCCGAAAGAAGATGCTAATAAATGGCGAGGAGGTGCTGATAGAATGGGAGGTGGGCCACTCCATCCGGACCCTGGCTATGCACCGCAGTGCCTACAAACGTATGTCACAGATCCAAGCCTTCCTGGGCTCAGTGCCCCAGCTGACCTGTCAGCTCTATGTGACCCTGATCTCTGCAGATGTCCCCCTGGGTAGAGGTGAGTGGGGTCAGGAGAGGGGAGGGCTCCACTGAAATCAAGGGTCTTAGAAATCTAGACCTGAGTGTCCAATATACTGGCCACCAGCTTCATGTGGCTATTTAAATTATTAAAAATTAAAAATTGATTTCCTCAGTCATACTAGCCACATTTCAAGTGCTCAGTAGCTATGTGTGCCTAGTGATTACTCTATTGGTATTATAGAACTAGTTCTATTGTACAGCACTGAGAGTCAGCTTGGGGAGCCAGACATCTCCGGCCTACCAGATTTCTGAAACTGGGGTAAGGTGTTTAGACTAAAAATGCCACAGAAAAACCCTCTCTGGACCCAGAAGAAGTGAGTAATACCAGAAGCCAGTAGGACATGTTCCCTACCCACAGTGTTTAAATTGTACTGAGTGTGTTTGGTTGGTTGGTTGGTTGGTTGGTTTAGGGATGGCTGCCTTTAAGTAAGAGGTTCCCAAATATTACAGATCATGAGAAAACATAATTACTGGATGAAAGCTTCCTTTAAAACTTACATCCCATACTCAGACCTGAATCAATCTGAGTGTGGGGAGGCCAAGAATCTGCATTTTTTAACGTACCCCAGTTGATTCTGATCAGCCGCTTTTGGGAACCACTGATTTAATCACTCCTTCCAACTTCAGTGGGGAGAAAGAAAAAGGGGTGTGGAATGAATACTGATGCGAGTCAGGCCTGGTCCCGGTTCTGACCTTCTCTGTAATCTTTAGAGGAAGTTACCAAAGAGGTCACTGTCTTAATTTCCCACTTGTAAAAGAGGGATCCCGAGATGAGTAAGCCTCTAGCTTGGGCTGGAGCTGGTACAGCTGTGGGTACAGCTTTGGACCGTTTCCTTATTATTAGGTGCTGACCCTGCTTGGCAAAGCCCTATGTTTCAAATAAAGGAGGAAATGCGCCCTCTTTTTTTCTCTACTAAGAATTGTTCATGAAGTTCTACTGGTCTTGAAGCTTTTTACATACCTAGAATTGACAGTAGTATGGGGAGAAAAATCTGGAAATGATGATGCTCTTCCTCCTGAGAATTTTGAGGGTAATTAAATCATCTAATTAAAATATGTATGCATTATAAAAGTAATACATGCACAAACCGGATGGCCTGCAGGTAATTGTATATGCACAGACTATTTCTAGAAAGATATGCAAGGAACCATTTACCTCTAGCGAGTGAAAATGAGAAGTCAGCTGACTTTTATTAGCTTTTACTTTATACCCTTTTATATGGTTTGGATTTCTTTTTACCATGATCATGTATTACTATTTTTGGTCCTTATTCTTTTTAATTATAAAAATCAGACATGGTTATGGTAAAGACTCAAAACTGTACAGAATATATACAAAATAGGAGATGTAATCTCATTTCCCAAAGGTAATCTGTTTACCATTTAGTGTATATCCTTCCAGACTCTTTCCTTCCTCCCTCCCTCCCTCCCTCTCTGTCTTTCTCTTCCTTTCTTTCTCTCTCTCTCTCTCTCTTTTTCTTTCTTTCCTGTGCTATACAGCAGGTTCTCATTAGTTATCTATTTTATACAAAGTAGTGCAGACTTCTCTTTATTATGTAATATAAACATACATATAACATATATATGTGTATATATATATTTGCCAAAAAAGGAAAATTAAACATTCTATTCAGCAGCATGTTTTTTTTCAAAAGCATGCCAATATTTCTTCAACAGTTATCTATATATATAATAATAATGATAAATATACTATATATTTCCTTTATATGAATTGGACCATTCTTTCTTATTTCCCTAATCTTCTGTTGGTAGGATTAAAGTTTGTTTATAATTTTTCCATCCATGCAAAAAAGTTTTTCTCTGATTACAGACTATGCTCCTGTGAACATCTTTATAAGCACCTGTGTACTGGAATGAGACTTTGTAGAATAACTTCTTAGCAGTAGAATTGCTGGGAGAAAAGATATGCATATTTAGAATTTTAGCAGTACTGCCAGAAGGTTGCATGAATTTGTATTCCCACCAGCAGTGTATGAAGATGCCTGTTTCTTTATATCTTAAACTAAATATTTATATAATTATAAAATAACTGTTTTAATAATTTACTTTATGAGTGAAGCTGAGCATCATTTCATGTTTGGTCATTCTATTCTTTAAATATCTTATTTATATGTTACTCACTTTTTCTAGTGGGTTGTTTATCTTTTCCTTATTAATTTGGAGGATCTATTTACTTATTCTGGCTATTAATCCTTTCTCTGCTGTGGATAAGTGTGTATGTATACATTTGTATAATGTTCTGTATGTGTGTACATACACACATTTTAAATGTGCATATACATGTCATACATGTAACATGTGCAACACACTATATGTAAGAGACAACATACTTGTAGTATTTTCTGGCATTTTGAAGTATTACATTTTTATGTATTCAAATTCTTTATTGCTTTTAGGTCTTGTGCCTTTCAAAGGCCTTTCACAGCTCAGATCTAGTAGAGCAATTTAGCCTGATCTTCCAAACAGAATGAATTTTCACAATCAGTTTGTCAATTCCCTCACCAGAAAACAAAACAAAGCAAAACAATAACAACAAAAGAAAAAACATTTTATTGAGACTGTGATTGGGATTGCATTCAATTATTTAGGTTATTTTGGAGGGAGTTTACATCTTTACAGGATCAATCAATTTCATATTAGAAGATAATTTAAGTCTCCATTTCGTTAAATATTTAAAAATCACTTCATCGAGGTACAACTGACAAACAAAAACCTCTACCTATTTAATGTGTACAACTTGATGAGTTTGGAGATAAATATACATCCGTGCAGCATCACTACACTCTGTGCCATAAATATATAAGACCCGTAGCAAGAAAACTATACTTGACCCTGGGTATCTTCAGTGGATTGTTTCCAGGACCCCCTGCGGACACCAAAATCCGTAGATTCTCAAAGCCCTTATATAAAATGGTGTAGTATTTGTGTATAACCTGTGTACATCCTCCCGTATAGTTTACATCATCGCTAGGTTACTTATAATACCTAATACAATGTAAATACTATGTAAATAGTTATGAATATGATGTAAATGCTAAGTAAATAGTTGCCAGTACATGGCAAATTCAAGTTTTGCTTTTGGAACTTACTGGAATTTTTTCCCGAGTATTTTCTATCCATGGTTTTGGTTGACTCTGTGGATACAGAGGGCCAACTATATACAAGTTTACCGAAGTACATGTCATTAAATATTTTTAAATATACTTCAGTAAAATTGTATCATTTTCTTATTATAGGTTTTTCACATTTTTGTAAGGCTTATGTCCAGATGTTCTATCAGTTTTGAAATCACCTGATTTCCTAAGTGTCAGGGTAACACCTAAACAAAGTAAATGCATCTCCTGTACTTTTGGAAATAGAGAATGGTGATGATGATGGTGATAATAGGAGCTAACAGATAGCATTTACTATGTTCCAGGCATTTCTCTAGTTATTTCATTTAAATCTTCACAACAACACTATGAGATACTTGTTATTATCCACATCTTACAAATGAGAAAACAGAGGCACCAAGAGGTTAAGCAAATTTCCCCACAAGGTTCCATAAGTAATAGATGGCAAAGAGGATTGGAATGCAGGACATCTGCCTTTAGGATCCGTGTTTCTAACTATAGGTCACTCTACAAAGGATGTAAGGGAATCTTTCTACAAGGTCTTGTTTTCAATTCTTCAGTGATTTCTCCTATTAAAAACTTTCTGACAACACCCTCTCTTTTAAGGTTTTGTGAACTACTTTTTGGTTTTAGTTTTCCTCACTTTCACCCACCCTCCTGTCTTCTCTTTGCTACCCCTTTTCTTATTCCTTTTTCTGTGGGAGGCCGTCTGGATCAGCATAGATGAGCAAATTTCACTAGCAGCATTATGACCTCTTATGGCATGTGTCTTTTTGTAGGGAGACAGATGGAAGGTGTTTTTACATTTATTGGAAGCATCAGGCTTTCTGCTTTTTATTACACTACTATCAATAAACGAGTTCTAAATTTAAGGGAAAGCATCACCACACTTGGCTGGCTGTACATACACCCTGATGTTCCAAACTCTACAAGGAGCATCAGCTCTTGAGGATGGGACTTAGAGTGGTTTATAAAGCTAAGAGTATATCAAATCATTATGCTGTACACCTTAAACTAATACAATGTTATATGTCGATTATATCTCAATAAAGCTGGAAAAAATAATAAATAATAAAAGTAAAGATAAGAGTAGACACTTTAAGAGAGTCTTCCAGTCTTTGAGACTGCAACCCTCTGCTTAGAGCTGGAAAAGATCTCGGAAACAACGCTGTGCTTCTTTCTGGGTTTCTATCGGAAGGTCTTTACTTTTCTTGCAGATTAAACTGACATTTCAATGGCTCTAGTTCCCTGGATCCAGTGTTTTTATGGGAACAGAAAGCTCCAGCTTTTCTTTTGGATGAGTACACTCCGGTGTCTCACTCTCCTTGAGAGCACTAGATTTTTCTTAGTGATTGGTATCCTCTGATATAAAGAAAGGAAGAAAAGGAAAGAGCCACTGTGTGACCTATAGTTGAGACTTAGGATAGCAGGATTAGAGGGCATCCTGATCCTTCAGGGCCCCTACTCTAACGCACAGTGGTATGGATGTTATGGGCTAGGAAATAGGATTTTTAAACCACTCTGCCGGAAGTTTGGGGACTCCTAAAGTATACCAAAGCACTGGGAAATTGGTACTGCTGATGAGTAATACAAGCAACTCTAGAGTATGTCAGTGACCTAGGGGACTGAGGCACATGGATATTCAGTGAGTCGCACAAGCTCTCACACTGCTGAACCAGCACTTCTAACCGTAGGTATGTTATGGTGCCTCTCTAAACTCAGAATTCTTCATTAATTCCACAAACATTTGTTGAGCACCTACTATGCTCCAGGCAGTGTGCTAGGCTCTGGTGATACAGCAGTGAACAAAATAGACATGGTCCCTTCTGCTCTCATGGAATTTCCAGTATATATTTTATGTTCTAGAAGCATACACAAACAAGATTAGTTCCTTGAAGAAGATGGTCATCAAAGCAGGGACTTCTATAGCCAAAGGCATTCTCTCTGAGTCTCCTAAGACTGGATTTTTTTCAGATCAAGTTCTCTCTGCCTCCAGCACTGTTTTCTCAGAAGCTTGTTTCATCAGGTAGATGCTGCCCATCCCTTTATATGTACTCTTCTTGTGTTAGTGACCTCTCAATGCTAGTGACCCCTCAGTGATGGTTCTGAGGCCAACTGTTTTTTTTACTTTATTTTGTATGATTATTAAAATATTACCAGTATATGTTCATTTCTTATTTCATGGGAAATTTAGAAACTAGAGAAATGTAGAAAAAATTAAAAACTGCCCCAGTCCCTGTCACGCAAAATAATTTAGTTTATTTCCATTTTCTTTCTGTGTATGCTGTTTGTTTACATAGCTCTGTTCATTCGTAGGTTTGCTCTTGACTTGGGCCCTTGAGTCTCACCTATCATCTCTCTGGACCTCTGGGTCAGAGTACAAGCTTCACCAACATTGACTGATTATCTATTTTCTTCTGTTTCTTTTTTTTTCTTACAGCTGTGCTAATAGTCTTTTCCCTGATATCTGTCACCTATGGGGCTACCCTCTGCAATATGTTGGCTATCCAGATCAAGTACGATGAATACAAGATTCGCCTTGGTCCACTAGAAGTCCTGTGCATCACCATTTGGCGGACATTGGAGATCACCTCCCGCCTCATGATTCTCGTGCTCTTTTCAGCCACCTTGAAATTGAAGGCTGTGCCCTTCTTATTGCTGAACTTCCTGATTATCCTCTTTGAGCCTTGGGTTAAGTTCTGGAGGAGTGGTGCCCATATGCCCAATAACATTGAGAAAAATTTCAGCCGACTTGGCACCTTAGTGGTGTTGATTTCCGTTACCGTTCTCTATGCTGGCATCAACTTCTCTTGCTGGTCAGCTTTGCAGTTGAAGTTAGCAGACAGCGACCTTGTTGAGAAAGGTCAGAACTGGGGACATATGGGCCTGCACTATAGTGTGAGATTGTTAGAGAATGTGATCATGGTCTTGGTTTTTAAGTTCTTTGGAGTGAAAGTGTTACTGAATTACTGTCATTCCTTGATTGCCTTGCAGCTCATTATTGCTTATCTGATTTCCATTGGCTTTATGCTCCTTTTCTTCCAGTACTTGCACCCGTTGCGCTCACTCTTCACCCACAATGTAGTGGACTATCTCCACTGTGTCTGCTGCTACCAGCACCCTCGGGGCAGGGTTGAGAACTCGGAGCCATCCATTGATGCTGAAGCAAGGCAAAGCATTGTCTGATTCTGTCTTTTGGGTATTTTGGGATGGGTTGGGGTTGCCAAGAGCAACTGTGAAATTGTAGGAGACGATGAGGCTCATGGGTGAGTACCCACCAGGACATTGTTTTGAGTTTTCTGAAAGCCTATCAGAAGAAAGAGCAGCCCCCAAATAGATTTTATTTCCTTAAGATTGACTACTATGTTTGGACACCAAGGTAACCACTGTGTACCTGGGAGGGTCAGATATATCATTCACATTCCTCCCACCCAGGTCAGCTGTCTGGCTGTCCTATGAGATAACTTACCTCCATGCACCTAAGGCTCTCTGTGACCTTTAAGCTCTGCTCATTCGCTTGAGCATTACTGAGGTTTCTGTGGGCTGAACCGAATGGCCCAGAATCCCACCAGAATATATCCTGACTGATCAGAGGATGTGCCTGCTTATCAGCTATGGGTACCTCCCGGGAAGCAGTCTGACTTATGTGAAACCTGTAACTGTGAACGTGGCTGGGGTCTTTTAATTCCAGTGAGAAACACTGATTAAGAGGAAAACCCCCACTATTAAAAGAGCTGCTCCTTAAATGAGTTAGCCATTAGGACTTTACTAGTGATCATTCATCAAGGATCTTTCCTTTCAGTGGCCCTTCAAAGGCACACTCTGAGGAGGGAGTACAGAGTGGGTTTCCTTCAAGGCATAAAGCAGAATGACTGTCTCAGGGACCTGCATGGGCCTCCACTGTGCTGAGTGGAGTGGTTGAATCAAAGCTCTCACTTCATGCCTCCTTATCAGGGATTCCCTCCAACCTGGCTTTTCTGTGCTCGTTGACCAACATTTGATGTATATCTCAGAGAAGCTGAACTGTAATTGAAAATGTTTCTAATGTGTGGAAGAAATGAAGATTGCTTTGTGTTTCCTACTATCCTGAGTATTTTGTTGATTTGTTTTTTAGGGGAGAGAGAGGTAATAATAGCTAGGACATTGCCTTTATGTTGTTTGGGGTTGGGAGAGTGGCTAACACTCCAAGGTAGAGTGAAGGCAGAGGAGGGAGACGAGATCACATTAAATCATCATCGGTACTGCTTTCTGCCCACAGGATTTTATTTTCTAATAAGGAGCATATGCTTATCAACCATCTGCTCACTCCCACACCCCCAGGGGATGAATGCAGTTCTCCCTTCCTTATGTATCTTAATGTTTATATCTTATATGAGTTGGGTATTTTGATGAGAAAGTCAGCTGGATGCCTCTAAAGTCACCAAGGAATTGAAGTTGCTATGGCCACTGCCTATTGGGATCGAGTATCCCAGCATCTACCTAACTAATGCTTGCCCCTCACAGACCAGGAAAGTGAGAAGAACTCCTAGTAGCATGTACAGTTGTGCCCACCACAGTGCTGTGAAGAACTGTGAACAATCTAACCTAAGGCTTTTCATTCTCATCCAGTTTTACTCTTGGGATCATGTTAAGAATTTATCTTTAGCCATTTCCCCTCCTCTTATACAGTGTCAGGACATTATGTTGGAAGAGCTCCCTCTTCTAAGTAGCAGGGCTATGAGCCAGAATTGTCCTATTTGCTGATATGTCTAGTGTGGTTTTCCCATCTTCAACCACTGTTTGGGGCTAAAAGGATTGCATACTTAATTGGGGGAGAGTGAAGTGACTTGCTTTGGATCAGTGGAGATTTCCTTTTTCAACCTAACTCCCGCATTCCTCATCCTCATCTTTCATGATGGAGATGTAGGTTGTTGTCATAAGAAGCACACACTGCTGTCCTCTGACTGTTATTCAAGGTGAATTTGAAAGAAATAATCTACCAAACCTCCAGAAGAACACACTGCCTCTTTGGAATTCAAGCAACAATTTCTCCCTAATGGTTAATATGCCTTCCATTAAGAGCAAGAGCAGTGTGGAACTATAATTTGGTCCATAAAAGCCATGTGGCTCAGCTACTTAAGGGTCAGATGCTTTGAGAACACAGAGACACACAGTGAGCAAGGCAAGCCAGTTAGAGCTGGAGTGGAGATACACACAGGGCAGAAAAATGTGCCTCATGCCAGACCAGGCATATTTCCCCCCATGTATCCTCTCCAGCCTCAGTGACTTTATATCCCAGGAATGCAGCGAGTTTAGGGTAAAGAGTGTGGAGCAAGTTCCACCTGAAAAACCTGCTGCCCTTACCTACAGAGAAGAGACACTAGTGATACATTATACAAATGAACCTTCAGAACCTCCTATAGGTGGTAGCCTTTCTGTTCCACAGCAATCTCATAAATACACAGGAGATGAAGAAATTGTGGAATACGGGGGTAGAGCAGAGGAAAGTGCTCCCTTCCACCCGCAAACACTTCTTTAATTGACTACTCTCTTTTTATCCTCAAATCTTAAAGTAACACAGGGTACTTTTGTAGGGGCAAGTCTAACGGAGTGGGAGAGGAGGCAGAGATGGGGCCAGCAAATGGGTCTTGGAAAAGGAGTGCAGAATCACAAAGTTTGGGTGTAAATGCTAGGCCATTGTAACAACAACTATCCTCGTGTCATTGGAAAGTCAGTAGGCTAAAAAGTGTGGGCAAATGAACATATTAAGGAAACGTATTAAATAAACTAATGGTCGTCAATTTCATTTGCTCCACAAATGCCTTAAAGACTATGGGCATAGAACCATGAGGCACTGTCAGATAATTAAATACTAGCTAATATTTATGAGCACTTACGATATGTGTGGCATAGTCCTATATATGCATTATTTCATTCAATCCTCAAAACAACTCTTAGGAGGGTAGGTAATGTTATTCCGCATTTTACAGATGAGGATTCTAAGGCACAGACAAGTGAAGTGACCTGCCTGAGGTCACAGAGAGTGTCAGAGCCGGATTCAGTCTTGGGCACTCAGGCTCCAGACCTTACACTCTTGATCATGATGTAAACCTCTAAGTTCTCTTAGGTCCTTTGTGAAATTATTTTAATATGTTAGTGGGTTCAAGAATATTTTATGGGCTATGGCTGGGTTCATATCAAGCATGCTTTCTCACAAACACTCCTTATCAAGGGGCACCACTCAGTTCACTCTAGAGAAGGGTCAAGTCCTAAAAAAGCTTAGGATGAAAACCGAGCATGTGTTCACATGCACTTATAGGCTGGGGACTGGGAGAGTTAGGAAGTGGGGTTGCGGGGGAGGGGAAGGATAGTGAAGGGAATCATTTCCTTTCTAGTTTCAGGATTTTGTCTCCTGTATATTCTTAGACACACAACTTCTAGACCCTGGTTGTGGGAATAAAACTGGAGGGAGCAATTCCCCGTCAGGTTTGTATGAGTACTTCCTCCAGAAATAACCAATCAGAGCAGGGTAGTGCTGAAGCTCATTCTCTTATACTTTCTCTTGCCAACACTGCTCTTACTCCTGCTGAGAAGCTGACTCCCAGAGCAGGCCAGAGGATGGGGATGGTACAGAATCATGCCCCTCTGGGAGCTGTCACAGTCCTGAGAGACTAGGTCAACCTTGAGTGCTCTTTCAGCTAGCCCCCCCATCCCTGCACCTCACAAGGTCATAGTCCTTAGCATTACAGAATTGATTGCTACTTCCTGGGATAGGGCGAGGTGGGCGGCTGTAGGGTTGGGTACTCCCCAGAACATTCCATCTAAATCCATGAGACTCTGTCTCTGAGAAATCTTTTAGTACAAAATCAGTTGACTCTGGACCCTCCAAAATATTTATCCAAGAATGGAGATGCTCCTTCTCTGAAGCTTTTGCTATTGGGCTTTATTACTGTTGGGAGGCGGGGATATTGAGTAATATCCTCTGAACTGAGAAGGAACTTTAAGACTGAAAAGTGAAGCAGGCAACTCCATAAAGTACAATTATGAAGTTTATTGGGGGTAACTTACATATAGGCAGGATCGGGTGGACAATGATCCAGAGGTATTCACAGCTGCACTCTGTGCCCCCGAAAGGGGCATGGGGGAGTTTAAAGGGCCAAAGCTAAAAATAGAATCTGGTTACCAAGGGAGAAGCACGGCTGCACCTATGGGAACCAGGCTTTTTTCCTCCCCCACCCCAGGGGTCTCATTACCATTACCCATCTATGTCAGCAGAAGGTATTCTTCTAGTTTTCATATCAGATGAAGGCAAGGGTAAAAGTTGATAGGGAACTTATCTGGCTTGAGTGCATTCCTAGTGAGTAGGCTAAAGCTCAGTCATGCAGAGAGGGGAGGGGGTAGGACTGCGGGCCTAAGATGGAGCTGACAAAATGGAGTCAGTGTGGTGCAGCCACACAATTACTATCTTCAGGGGACACATATGCCCATAATCTTATCATGCCTTTCCTCCTAAAAGACTGGCACCATCAGTCACACACTTTAGACCTTAGAGCCTGTGGGGTGCACAGTGAAAGTATGTTATGGGCCTTGGCAACAAAGCTTATACCATGTGAACCTGGGAAGCAGCAAGGCCAATCTGTGTGAGATATGAGAACTACCTGTGAAAACACATTTCCATGTATAGAAGTAACTAACATCTGAATAACACTTTATAATATTCAAGACACACACATATTGCTCTCTTACCAATGTGCCATTGTTAGCACAAGCCCTCTGAGTTGTACACATGAATTTGCATTGTTCTAATGAGAGGGATAAATTAGGAGGATGGGATTAACTTATACACACTACTATGTATAAAATAGATGAACAACAAGGTCTTACTGTATAGCACAGGGAATTATAATCAATATCTTATAATAACCTATATTGGAAAAGAGACTGAAAAAGAACTGAAAAAGAAACTGAATCACTTTGCTGTACACTTGAAGCTAACACAATCTTGTAAATCAACTACACTTGATTTAAAAAAAGAAGAAGCCTGGCAAGAAGGATGATGTAATAAGGATAAATAAATTTAGCCATGAGTGTATTAAATAAATAAATAAATAAATACAATAGCTAACTTTCAATTCAATTCATCAAACAATTATTAAACTCTTACTCTGTGCCTGTAAAACCAATACAGATATCTCAAAGTGCTACATAGATGCTGAAAGACAAGTGAATCCAAAATATCAAGTGTATAGCAGAGGGAGGAACACTCCCAAACTCATTCTACGAGGCCAACATCACCCTGATACCAAAACCAGACAAAGGTGTCACAAAAAAGAAAACTACAGGCCAATATCACTGATGAACATAGATGCAAAAATCCTCAACAAAAAACTAGCAAACAGAATCCAACAGCACATTAAAAGGATCATACACCATGATCAAGCGGGGTTTATCCCAGGAATGCAAGGATTCTTCAATATATGCAAATCAATCAGTGTGATACACCATATTAACAAATTGAAGGAGAAAAACCATATGGTCATCTCAATAGATGCAGAGAAAGCTTTTGACATAATTCAACACCCATTTATGATAAAAACCCACCAGAAAGTAGGCATAGAAGGAACTTACCTCAACATAATAAAGGCCATATATGACAAACCCACAGCCAATATCGTCCTCAATGGTGAAAAACTGAAAGCATTTCCACTAAGATCAGGAAAAAGACAACGTTGCCCACTCTCACCACTATTATTCAACATTGTTTTGGAAGTTTTAGCCAAAGCAATCAGAGAAGGAAAAGGAATAAAAGGAATCCAAATCGAAAAAGAGAAAGTAAAGCTGTCACTGTTTGCAGATGACATGGTACTATACATAGAGGCTCCTAAAGATGCTACCAGAAAGCTACTAGAGCTAATTAATGTTTTCGTAAAGTAGCAGGATACAAAATTAATTTACAGAAATCTCTGGCATTCCTATACACTAACGATGAAAAATCTGAAAGTGAAATTAAGAAAACACTCCCATTTACCACTGCAACAAAAAGAATAAAATATCTAGGAATAAACCTACCTAAGGAGACAAAAGACCTGTAGGCAGAAAATCATA